GACCTAACTTCCCGCCCATAAAACCCGATAAACACCATTTTGTAGGAAAACATGCAGGTTGTAGGGATTAATGAGTGGGGCTACATAAGCTACAGTTGCCGAATTAAAATCTAACAAGGAAGAGGCTTTAGTACAGCCAACACTCTAGCCAACTCAGCTACATGGCCCCATCGGGAGTCAGGAGTCTCATCACACTTGGGGCAATATAACCGACCAATTTACTGCAACTTAAGCAATCTACCAATTATGATACAGTAAACTAAATACCCCAACAGAATTTCCTAAGCAATCAATCTAAAATCCACAGGACTCACTTACTTAAAATGGGATTTTGGCAGATTTGATATGTTCTTCAGTTGCTTTGTTATTCATGCAATAAGAGGAAGCGGTTGATAAGCTCTCCCGAAATTTATTTGTACAAATAAATTCTGCCGTTGTCGCTTGCTTCTAATTTATTTGACTCAACTTGTGAAAACCTCTGTAGCCTTGCTGGGATTCAAACGCAAGCTAGTAAGGGAAACACTTTAGGAAGTCGTGCTTGAACAGTCAGCTTACTGCATGGTGGATTCCATACGTTGCAGTAAGCTGAGCGGGTAACTTGACCAAAGTGTGATTAAACTCATGGCTTCCGATGGGGGCTTCGTAGCTCAGTTGACTAGAACGTCTTCTCGGTGGACATCGATTCAGATTTTCCGAATACTAATCAATTTGCAGAGGGGAGGGTGACAGAAAATGTGAGTAGATTGATATGGTCTGTTTTCAGCTTATTCTGCCTTCATTCCAACAAGCCTAACACTGATTACCAGCTGGGACTGGAAAATCAAAAATACGCTGGTGTACGACTCCATATAGTCCACAGACATGCGCCTAGCAGGTGAGTCATAAGGACTTCATCGAGCCGAAGTTCGTTGGTGTCTTGCCACGTGAAGTGGGTTGCCTGTTCGGAACTGGCTTGTTTTGGGAAGCCAATAGGTTGGTGTGTGCCTGTGCCTGTGTGAACTAATAAAGTTCGTTAACTAAAGCTAGTTTCAGCACTTGTGTGAAACGAATATGACGTATTTGCATAATAGGTCTCATTACCTCTGATCACATTTGTCACTCAACTTACAGAAGAACCTTATGACAGATCGCTAATGTTTCTGTAGGCACACCAAATTATGGTAAACAATGAAAGTTTTTTGGCCAAAATGTAGGTCATTATTAATGACGTTACCTCGTGCAAGCAGAATAAAAAAGTTTTTTTTTCAAGTGAAGCTCCTCTTCTGGAGCTTCTTGGTAAACCAGATATGCGGCGGCTCATATAAACAAACACGAAAAACAGAGACCAACCAACTATGTTCAGCACCATGGGAGCCTTAAAATGAGTTAAGAATAACAGTCATTGACCTGTATTCTGTCGATTGAATCGGGGCAAATCACGCATGAACACTAAGGTCTAGCTAGGTAGTTTGGGAATTCAGAAATGTCCAATGGACTTCAAGATCATTCCTCAAGTAACTCTAGACAAAGGTACGCTACTGCGTTCTCTCGACTTCTTTTCTATCCCTGATAGATTGCCTGGAACCAGAGTCAGTAGTTCTGGACTTTAGCCTTGCCAACTTTCTTTTCCATTTTTTCAACTTTAGCCACGGCATAACACTGATCCGGTAAAAAATGTTTTAACGCCTGTACTTCGTTTTGTGATTCCCTTAGAATCAAGTACGACTGTTGTCCTGGTTTCAAACGGTCCGATATCATCAACAATGAGTGCGTCGAAGTGGATCGAACCTACCTCCCAATCGTGCCAACTCTTGAGCTAATGAACAAGAATAAAACTGCTAATAAGCTCGCGCTCGCGGAACCAAACCTCGCTAAGGATGATCAGAATAAGGACTTCACTGTCTTTGTTCCCGATAAGGATGGCAGTCTTCCAAACTCGTGAGTTCTCTAGCTATTAGCGCCCTTTCGCCCATTTATATACTGGATAAGTATGGCATCTGAAGGCTTCATAAAAAGTTTCCTGAACCATTCTAATAAATGTCCATTCTCGATTTTGTTTTAATATTTGATAACGCAGTTCCATTAATCTTCTTTTATCTCATTAGTTGTTTTTTAAGCACTGACTCTCTGCTCTCGACCCAAAACTTTCTTCTCGTTCGAAGAATGGAATGTTTGTCACGTAAATTAACGAGATAACATTAAATTCTTGGAAAATTCCTCTTTCAAGATCACCGGACGCTCCAAAATCCATCATTGCGGATGGCCGGCACTACGCGCAAGACTTCATAGACGGCACAACTATTCCTGTAAAGAACGGTCTTCCCCTCAAGGTCTCAACTTACCCAAACAATGTAAGCACCAAATGACTTCTATTTAACTTAGTGCTGTCACTTATTCGTGAAAAGTTCGCTTTTTGACTCTAATCATATTTGGAGATCAGCCCTGTGAGGATCTACAGCTGACGAGTTCATTTGGTTATTTATCTAAACATCATCGTTATAGAAAACAGTCGACTGCCAATCGATGGCCTGTTTGGATTATTGTACTAGAATTCTATTGATCTAGCCTTACCTTTAAGTTTAGCTCTATTGGCTTAGATTGTGCCCTTTGTACTTGAAATCAGAACCAAGAACTATGGTTAGTCAGGAAACATGGTTTTATAACGGGAGAGGATTAGCAAAATGGAAATAGTATACTTAGAATCAAAGTATCCAAACATACAAGCAGCAAGGTAATGTCAATTTACTCAGGGATAAGATGGAAGATTCAAACAAATAATAAGAGTAGTTATCCGGAAGCAGTAATTAACTACAAAGTGAACCAAGAGTGTTGGTTAATGCAAAAATGCGTATGAAGAGCCTTACTGTCAACTCCAAAAAATATAAACTGTGAGCCAGTGAGTCTAGTGTTGGTAGAAAGCAAATAGCTACGTTAATGTTAAATTGATGGAAGTGGGGCAACGAGAAAACATAAGTGAGAACGTACATTCTTCCTTAGCGTCCTTTAGGTGGACAAACTACGGATACGTTTTGGCAAAGTAATAACAAAGTGTCTTACTTTTTGCTTCGTAAAATCATCCACCATTCAGGACTCGTTTCGGAAAATGCAAAGAGCACGTATCCTAGGGCTTAACGGTTGGGAACGCCTGCTATGAAAATCTTAATTGTTCAGCTCTAGATATGAGTTATTTTTACAAGCTTGATCTGCACCGCAACTCATGAACCACTGTCCAAACTACTTAAGCGTGCTTTCAGTGGAAAACGATTGTTTGGCAGAAATAAGAAAGATGGCAAAAGTAGCTTATTTAGCCCCACTCATACACCCCTAGTCGCAGCATTTTGTCCTGCAAAAACTGCGGTTATATAGTTTTGTGGGGTGGGGAAATAGGATAGGCAGAGAA